CTTTAAAACAAGGTATTCAGATAACACTCAGATAAAATTATATAAATAAAATGTAATAAAATGTATATAAAATGAATAAATGAGAATGGTATCTGTGTTGTTGATCTGTAATATTACAGTGTTACGTTGATTTGTTTGTCCCTTCTCGGACCATGCACTAACGCATTTCAGTGGTTTTGTGTTAGAAAAGAAAGCAACCAATCAGATCTTGTTCTGGGTTGTTCTTATCAATCGAGAAGCCGTTCGTGTGGATGAATACATTAATTCGTTTGAGACTTTCATATACTGTACATACCTGCAGCCACCATTAGTGGGAAATACAGACAAGCATGCATACAAATAATGAAAAGACAAGTCAAGTCATATTCTATATTTCTCTTATTCTTAACAAATCACATGATCAGACCCAAACGTCAATGAATGTCTATCTAATGTCAATCTATTAACAAATGTCATGTGTCTTTCATGTTACTGAGCCTCTGTGAAGTTCTGAGTTTATCCCACACTCTCTACCCACCAGCGCTTGCTATATCACAAAATGTTCGGCTTGAAGACTTCCCCATTTCATTCCTTTCTTAGTAATGTTGACCTCAAACCACAGTGACAAGCAGTTTCAGGCAATGTGAAATATAAATGAGAATTGGAGAAGTCGGAACACTATGAGACAAACTGAGACATTTTTAGTTTGAGTCTAAAGACCGGAAAACTTAACGTGAGACTGACAGGAAAAAGCTTCCGAAAGAGGCAAATTGACAAAAAACTAAATTCCAATATAACCTTGATTATAAAAGAAGCTAATTTCTCATTTGGCAGTTACATTAATTCATGAGAGTGATCCAAACCGGTTTAAAGAAAACTCAACTTTACGGGCAAACAACACAAAACTCAGCTTCGACATCCAGAATCTGGCGGACCAGTTGGGCAACCTGACACAAGCCTATAATGTCTCAGAGAGCAACAACAAAAACCTGTCTGCAGGAGTCGAGGAGCTGAACAAACGAAACCAGGAGCTGGAGACTGAGAAGAAGAACTTGACACAGCAAATACAAAACCTGACAACAAACTGGAATGAGCTCAACGTCAGTCGAGCTCAGTGGAGCATCAATTCCTACTGCAGACAACCTGGCAGTAAGTTCTGAACCCATTAATAAGGTACAATAATAATAATAATAATAACATTAATATCACAATGCAGTGATGTGGATTATTGTTTGGACTCTGTTGTTTCAGAGACCAACTGTCAAGCTTGTCAGAAAGGCTGGTTACACACTGAGCCCAGCTGCTATGCGTATCAAAACCCTCGTTCTCGTGGATGGAAAACCTTGGAAGAAGCTAGAGAAAACTGCAGTGGAAAGAATTCATATTTGGCTGTTGCACATGATTTTAAGGAAAAGGTAAACCCCTTAATATGACGCAATTAAGAAAGTAATTGTGTTTTGTGTAGGTTTGAACACACTTTGGGTCTTTAGGTCATTATGTGTTTATTACAGTTTAATGTTTAAATATCTGACAACTCTCTCTCTGTTTTCCAGGAAGCAATCAAGAAAGAAAGCTTTGGATCTAATGGATTCTGGATTGGTCTGAGAGTTGTAAATAAGAAATGGGAGTGGGTGGATGGAAGTAATCTGACTGATAGGTAAGAGACCCATTACTAAACACTTTGAATAATAAAATCAGCCTTTATCTAAACATCATGTTCTCTCCTCAGCTCCTGGATAGATCCTCCTGATCCTGTTGACGGTCACTGTGCAGTGTTGTTCAAGAAAAAAGACACATGGTCATCAAGGAGATGTAATGCAACACAACAATGGATCTGCCAGAAGAAGGCTCTGTCTGTTTAAACAAAGCAGTCATACTAAGAAAGTTACTGGAAACTCTTTGAAACAAATATGAATTACTTGTAAATAAAAACAAATTCCAAACAAAAAAATAAAAATAAAAAACGATAAAAAACAGTAATTCCAGAATCGTTTCACAAACTCGATACAAACAATAAAACACAAAAGTTAACTCATAATGTGGATTATTTTAAAATCGATGTACTTTTAATTTGACTTAATTTCTATGGAGCTTGCTAAATTAATGCAAATATTTCTTTCTTTAAAATGTTTATGGTGTTTTTATCAGATATGGATGGTTAAAATAGTTATACTGTTTTGTGTGAATAATGTTATTCTATTGTGTTAGAGATGCAATGCTTAAACTCTGCAGATTATTGCAAAGATTATGGACCATTTTTATTTGATTGCTTCTCCCGGCCAGCAGAGGGCGCTGCATCACTTGTTCTCAATACAATGTTCCAGAGTCTGTTTAATAACTATTTTTCAAGATTCAAAGGTTTATTGTCATGACATTTAGAAACTATGGTGTAATTATGTAATGTATAAAACAAATTGATCGCAGGTTCCTTAACAGTGCAATTAACAAGACATAAGAAATACATATAAAAAACAACAATAAAAATAAAAATAGTGCAAGCTCAGGTGTTTAACCTGTTAAGCCCTGAGCCTGTTTTTCAGGTCTCAGGCTCGAAAATGACATTCCCAGAACAAATGACCATCTTCCCTTCTAAAAGGGGTAAATTAATAATAATAATAACAAGTAATGATAAACCTGTGAGTTGGATGTAGAAAAGTCAGAACAATATAGATGTTTTTTATTTGAAAGAAAATTCAGATTTTACATAGTAAAAAACTGTAAATTATAGTGTCCGTCCAAAAATTATTTTTTACTTATAGTGAAAACTACCCTTGGATGATGGGTTAGTAGACTAAAAGCTTTAGGAATCCAAAGTACAACATATAATAAGTACCCTGTATCAAGATTTATGCAAAACAAGTGACATTTGACCTTTTTAGAGAGATTTAGCAAAAAGAAACCACTTCTGAGGTCGTTTGGGTGGATTTTCCATATTTCTGGCCCCCCTTGCTCGATTTTGATGGTTGACACCTCTTTCTGACCGTTAGAGAGCCAATAGAATCGAAGGGGGAGTCCCCCACACACACTCATTGTGAAACAAAAAGGTGGGGGCTTTGCGCATGTAATTTTGCTTTAGTGTGAAGCTACACTCTAGCTCTGACATCTAGAAACGTAAAAGCATGGATTATCCGTCTGTTTGCTCATGGATTATCAGAAATCATTTCAAAGGGACACAGACACATTGGATTAACCTATGGATTAACTTCAGCAGCGTTTTTAATCGTTTTAATGCCATTGAAGACCACTTTGGAGAGACTACAGAGCCAAGGTAAAAATGTTAGCATTTTTAGCTACCTAGCGTCACCTGTTTTGATGTCTGTTTTTGTTTATAACGTCGCAAATTCGTATAATTCAGTGATAATGAGGGTACCCATCGATTCTGTGTCACCTCACGATGTGAATCGATGTCATGGATGTGGAGAAGAGATAAATAATAAGGTTTTGTGAGTGATTTTCGGTGCAGTAATCTGTTAGCATTTTTCGCTCGTTGCTAATTCAGAGGCTCAGTGTTAGCATTGTGGGTTTTCTTTTGAAAAATAAATAAAAATGATCAGTTAGATGAGTTTCTTCCCGTTACATGGATATAAAACATTCATAGTTTATTAAATGAACATGCCCTCAGACACTGTTTCCTGCAAGATGTTGCGGCAGTGCCCCGGTCCCGGGGTCTCTCGGGCTTAACAGGTTAATAGTCTTTTGGCCAGTGGGATGAAACTGTCCCTGATACTATTCTGATGATGCACACTTTATGGATGATTTTTATCTATCTGTACTTCTATCTATGAGCAATGTCTTGTTTTACTCTGTTGTCACCAGTGAATAAATGTGCTGCCACACATTGTTGTTTTTGTCTTTTTCTTGAAAACATCAGTGCTTTAATCAAGTCTGGACGAACAATCTTATTCATGGTGCAAACATTTGGATGAAAATAAGATAGAAGGAGATCAGGCCTCAATATTCAGTCACTCTGTCAACATCAGCACCTGCAGAGTTTCAGAGAGGGACAGGAAGTGGAATTGAATCGAATGAAAAACTGCAAAAACTAAGGTGACAAACGCTGCCAAACATTGTGGTTGTGGGATTGGTGTGTCAAGGTCTCTGAGGAAGCATCATATTGTGTATTTTATCTTTATCAAATGAAGCTCCAGTCTTTTTTTCTGGTTTTACATTAAAGTCAAAATATGTTTGGCTGTTGTTCTGTTTCTGACCATCAAACAAGCCCATGGTAGGCAACAGACACCCAAACTTAAGCAAAGATACTTAGTGTTTATTCTGTAACATCACGCTCAGCCTGTTCATTTTGCCATGTTTAGTTCTTGTTACTAACGTCATGTTTAGGTGTTCGTTATCAGGTTTATCCTAAAGGTTTCATGTTTAGTTCATAGCCCATGTTTAGGGTTAGGGTTTAGTCATGTCTCGTTGTTAACGTGTTCATTTACTGTGTCTTGTCTCGTCTGTCATTGCACTTCCTGTTTTATTTACCCCTCCGTCTCTTATAGAATGGGGAGGGATGAAACCCTCTTTTAATGGTCACACATGCAGAGCACACAGCACACACAGTGAAATGTGGCCTCTGCATTTAACCCATCCTAGTACCAGGAGTTTAGTACTAGGATCTTTTTTCAAGAGCTCTTGACTTTCACAGCATTTGTGTGTTTTTCAGCCACTGTGATTGATAGAGCCACATTCAGTTAGTCTTTGATTTTTTGCCTTTGCCAAAATTACTAAAGTTTATTTTTGTACTTTTGTGTGGATTCGTGCAGATGAGTCCAAGTCTCTGTGTCACTTCCCTGACATATTTATTAATCACTTCAATGTTGCAGCTGAAACAGAAGGATTGAGTCGTTTTTAAACTATATAAAGCTCAGCGCAAGTTCAACCAGGAAGACCGTCTTTACTCATTCATTTACTATTTCTATGTCACTACTCTCTCTCCTCTCAATAAGTGATCGGGGGCGTCACTCCCCAGCTTAACCAATCACTTCGCTCTATTTTCACAAGCCTATCATAGCGCTCTGCTAACCCTTTTAAATCTGCTCTCCCCTCTGACAGCTGTCATTTCGACGCAACCCTCCTCCACCCCTCTTCACCTCCTGTCCCTCTGAATCCAGGGTCAAGCTAAGCCCCTCCCCTTCAGACCGACCCAACTATCCATTCACCACCACCAGGGTCAAGCTAAGCCACTCCCCTTCAGACCGACCCCAACTATCCATTCACCACCACCAGGGTCAAGCTAAGCCACTCCCCTTCAGACCGACCCCAACTATCCATTCACCACCACCAGTGTCTAGACCCCGGGGGGTTTCATCGAATCGGTTCTCCCCTCCCGAATGATACTCCTGCACAACGGGGCCTAATCGCCAAAACTCCATTACATTCATTTGTGTATTCCTGGCAATAAATATGTATTCTTATCAAAACCGTCTCTCCTGATTGAAATACTGTTAGATATCTTGTGAGTTTCTTCTTCACATATAACAATATAACATATCTGATAAGTGGAGTGGAAGTATGAAGTAGCAGAAAATTAAAAATACTCAGTTAAGTAAGTAAGTAAAGTACATCACAAATGTTGCTACTACTAAAAATGTACTTCATCATTTTACTGAAAGCCAATCAGAGCACAGAAGGGCTTTATAAGGAGACAAAGTGTTTGTCCTTGTCGTTTTCTTTCATATTGCTCGTCGAAGTTATCAGTACGTTAATCAAGCCGAATAAGGTCAAAACTATTCGATAGGTTGCAACGTGACCTTGACGTACATTAAAACTTCACACCATAACCTCAGAGCAGAAGTCGACTAAAGAGCGTCACATCAGAGCAGACGCTCTCTGACAGCTTCAGGTCTGCAGCAGGACTTCAGACTCTTGTCCACGATGAACAGAAGAACTCAGCAGGAAATGGGTAATTCAATATATTCTAATTTGTATGTGTGTGAGTGTAAAACATTGCTTTTTTCTTTTACCGAGACATTGTTTATATTTTTTCCTATTCATCGTGTTTCTGATTCGTGATCAGATCTGAGCCACAAAGGGTTTAAAATAACAACATTTATTTCAAATGTGATCTTTAAAATTGTGATTTTCAAACTCTGATAAACACAGAATTATAAATTCAATGCATTTGTTTCTCTCAATAAATTGAGTAAGAAACTGGTGATGTATCAACATCTTCTTATGACAAAATCAATTTGATTATTTAAAATGAATCTGATTTTAGTTTGTCTAATGGTTTTTAGTTTCAGCAGAAATAAATGTCTTTGTAATTTTAAAGAAAATGTCAGTGTGAGAACCGAACAATTCTCTGTGTGTGGTTTTTAGTTCTGCTTTAGATTAATATCTGTGACTGGAGATGAACGTTACTCATACATTAAGACTTAACACATTTTTATCTTTCTATGTAGAAGTGCGTGGTTGACTTCTGCTTCTGATTCCTTACATAACTGCAACTGTTTTTAAATATTGATTTAATCCCAAAATCCACCTTTCAGTACAATGGTTCCTCGTGGATGCTCAACACACTGGGAGTAAAACTGCATTAAAATATAAATAATGTGTTTATCTTTCAGAGGAAATTGAAGAAGAAGAAGCTGACTATGTTAATGCATCAAAAGGCGCTGTGGATAAAAAGAGAACCCGTCCAGGTGCATTATGAACACAAAACAATCCACATTTAATATTGTCAAAAATGGGATTTATGCAGCAATCATAGTGTTAAAGAATGGGAGTAAAGAAAGTTGAAAGTGTGAATATTGAATTGTCTCTTTTTGTTCTAAATGTATCCTAAGCATCTGTGACTGTCATGTTGTTTAGGGTTTTTAACTGAATTATTATTTTTCAGGCCGGAGGTTTTTTCTTCTGATCGCAGTGTGTTGGCTCATACTGTTAGCCATCATGGGTCTCCGTATCTACTGTGAGTATCTTCTGTGTGAATGTCAGTTCAACAGTTTGTATTAGATGTGACCGGAAGCTCTGTAACTCTGTCTGTTGACCCAACAACATCTCCCCTCTCGTTTGCTGCAAAGATTCTGCAATAGCAGGCTGAAATATGTGTTAAGGGTGAAGTGTGTGTGTGAAGGTGTCTTCCTGTTCTCCATATTTTGCAAAAGGCAGTGGTTTGAAATGTCAGAGCTGTTGTAAGAAGTCTACAATACAGAGGAGACCAGTCACTTTCCAAATGCATTTAGCTCTTTGCTATGTGAAGCAAACATGTGAACCCATTCTTCAATGTTTATCAAGAATATTAAAACACTCAAAGACACAAGCCTTACAGCCCAACACCTTCCTCTCTTTGTCTCTGTAGTGACCTCTGAACTTTCAGGAAACAATGCCGAGCTGTACTCACGAATCCAGGAGCTGGAGACACAGAATGCAAACTTGACGAGGGACAACAAGAATCTGGCGGACCAGTTGGGCAACCTGACACAAGCCTATAATGTCTCAGAGAGCAACAACAAAGACCTGTCTGCAGGAGTCCAGGAGCTGAACACACGAAACCAGGAGCTGGAGACTGAGAAGAAGAACTTGAAACAGCAAATACAAGACATGACAACAAACTGGAATGAGCTCAACGTCAGTCGAGCTCAGTGGAGCATCGATTCCTACTGCTTAGGAAATACCGGTATGTTCAGATCCTATATATTAGGTCATTATTACAATATTTTCATACTGCAGTCATGATGTTGATTGTTGGGACTCTGTTGTTTCAGATAAAAAGTGTCAAGCTTGTCAGAAGGGCTGGAATCTCACTCAACCCAGCTGCTATGCGTATAATAACGCTCAGCCTCCTAATCGAAAAACCTGGGAAGAAGCTCGAGATGACTGCAAAGGAATGAATTCAGTTCTGGTTGTTGCTCATGATTCAGAGGAAAAGGTAAACCCATTAATATGACGCAATTAAGAAAGTAATTGTGTTTTGTGTAGGTTTGAACACACTTTGGGTCTTTAGGTCATTATGTGTTTATTACAGTTTAATGTTTAAATATCTGACAACTCTCTCTGTTTTCCAGGCAGCAATCAATGACAAAAGTTTTGGATCTGCCACCAAAACTGAAAACTTGACTTGAATATATAAGCAATTAAACAACATCTTACATTTCTTTTCACACAATACGTCTCCTTGCAGTATCAACACTAATTTGGCTGACTTTTATATTTGATCCAATTGGTAGATAGGCTGTATTTACGCCATAACGGTGCACAGCTGATAGAAAGGGACACCTACTGTTTTTTTTATACAGTCTATGGTTGGTACAGAGGATTGTGGGTAATGTAATGTCTTCGGCCATCCAAAACTCATAGAAAACGATTTGTTTCTCAGAATTGAAGGGGAAAACGTGACAAAAGCATTGTACACACACTAAAACCTATCAATGTCGTTTAATTAACAAGGATAATCTGGTGTTTTTGAGTTGATGAGTAGTGGAGATATCACTGTCAAATCAATCGACAGTAAGGGGAATACTTACTTCCGGGTGTACAATTCTCCGTTATCCAATGGGAATGGACGCTCACATTGCCTTTAACAGCCTCCGACACAAACGAATGCCGTGCTTCCCTGAGCGTGAATGTTTTATATCCATGTAACGGGAAGAAACTCAGCTAACTGATCTTTTTAATTTTTTTCCCAAAAAAAACCCCACAATGCTAACACTCAGCCTCTGAATTATCCACGAGCGAAAAAATGTAACCTATCTCTGCACCTAAACTCACTCCTAACTCCCTTATTACTTATCCTAGATGCACAGCAAACCCATCGATTAGCATCAGCTGGAGACACAGAATCTGGGGGTGCCAGAAGTGCCACTTCAACACTCAGTGATAAACATTTGCGACGCTATAAACGAAAGCGTACACCATAACATGTGGAGCTAGGTAGCTAGAAACGCTAACATGGCTTACCTTGGTCAAAACTGGTCTTCAATGGCATTAAAACGATAAAAAAACGATGCTGCAGTTAATCCATAGGTTCATCCTATGTGTCTGTGTCCTCTTTGAAATGATTTCTGATAATCCATAAGCAATAAAACTGCTTTTTCGTTTCCAAATGTCAGAGCTAGAGATAGGTCCACTCTGACGCAAAATTACATGCGCGCAGCCCCCACCTTTTCTCTTCACAACGTATGTGTGTGGGGGCCTCCCCCTTCGATTCTATTGGCTCTAACGGTCAGAAAGAGGTGTCAACCATCCAAATCGACCAAGGGGGGCCAGAGATATGGAAAAAAAAAACATTGTCACCCAAATCATCTCAGAGGTGGGGTGGTTTTGGCTAAACCTCTCTAAAAAGGTCAAATGTCACTTGTTTTGCATCAATTTTGATACAGGGTACTTATTATATGTTGTACTTTGGATTCCTAAAGCTTTTAGTCTACTAACCCATCATCCAAGGGTAGTTTTCACTATCTGTAAAAAAGAATTTTTGGACGGACACTATAATTTACAGTTTTTTACTATGTAAAATCTGAATTTTCTTTAAATAAAAAACATCTATATTGATTCTGACACTTCTACATCCAACTCACAGATGTAACCTTGCTTTGATAAAAGAAATTATTCATATAACCCTTTTAGAAGTTAAGTTGTAGTCATTTGTTTTGGGCATGTCATTTTCGAGCCTGAAACATGAAAAACAGGCTTGGTGCTTAACAGGTTAATATAATATAATCACTCAAAAGAATGCAATTATTTATTTCCTTAACATCTTTATGGTGTTTTTATCAGTCTGGGCGGATCAAATAGTTTTTCTGTTACGGCTCGATTACATAAACATTGCATGAATTTAAAATAAACAATGCGACACAAAAGTTAACTCGTATATTTTGTGGATCATTTTAAAATCAATATACTTTTACTTTGACTTAATTTCTATGGAGCTTGCTAAATTAATGCAAATATTTATTTATTTCTAAAAATGTTATGGTGTTTGTATCAGATATGGATGGTTAAGATAGTTGTACTGTTTTGTGTGAACATTTTTATTCTATTTTGTTAGAAATGCAATGCTTAAACTCTTAAAGATTATGGACCATTTTATTTGATTGCTTCTAACGGCCAACAGAGGGCGCTGCATCACTTGTTCTCAATACAATGTTCCAGAGTCTGTTTCATCAAGTATTATGATGTATACTTTGTTTAGTTGCACAGCTGACGGATCATTTTATCTATCTGTATTTTTATCTATGAGAAATGTCATGTTTTACTCTGTTCACCAGTGAATAAATGTGCTGCCACACATTGTTGTTTTTGAATTTATTTTGAGAACATCAGGCTTTAATCAAGTCAGGACGAACATGTTATTGCCAATTATGTAATATGTTATGAAAATAAGATAGAAGGAGATCAGGTCTCAATATTCAGTCTCTCTGTCCATATCAGCACCAGCAGAGTTCCCGAGAGGGACAGGAAGTGGCATTGAGAGCATTTTGGTGACTAAACATACGTTTTTGGGGCCTAGAAATCCAATGGAGATCCAAATTGCAGTTAATATGATTATTTTATTGGGAAATCCAATATTTGGGATGTGTGACTCTATTAAAACTCTGTGAAAGGGCCGAACGTTTTCAAGTTCCGGTTGAAACTATTTGGGAAGTATCAACATGACATGAGAACAGGAGATTAAAAAGATGCCATCTCCACCTCGAAGCAGAAGTCTACTGAACCGTCACATCAGAGAGACGCTCTCATCAGGACTGCAGCAGGACTTAGTTCAGGACGAAAGGACAAATAATCGAGGATATGGGTATTTAAAGAATATTCCAGAGTTGATGTGTGTGTGTTTGTGTCTAAGATACAACCTATGATATGTTTTTGTTTGCTTTTATCAACATGCTCTGCTATGTATGACCATATATGCGTAAATTGCTTCTGAGGCTTGACCACTCCCTAGCAGCACATTCTTTTAAATATCCAAATTATAAATCCATTTAAGATTGAATCTTTAAAATTATAATTGATCAACTCTGCTGAACATAGAGACATAATGTTTAATGCATTTAGGGATTTAAAAAAAAAAAGTAAATTAAGGAAGAAGCTTGTAGTTTATCAATATGTTAACCACACATGATGAACTATTGTACTAAATACAAAATGTGCTCCATTTTCAATGAGTTTTTCTAATTGGTCTTTAATCTCGTTATAAAAAGTCAGCATGATACACTTCTCTGTGTGTTTTTAGTTCTGCTTTCCTCTTCTGTTCGTTGCGTGACGGCAACTCATTTGACATCGTTGAGTTTGATTATAAACTCCATCATTTAGTGAAATGGTTCCTCATGCGTGCTGAACATAATGGGAGTGAAACTGCATATCTGATGAAACAGTATGTGTTTATCTTCCAGAGGAAATCACAGAAGAAGCTGACTATGTGAATGCACCAGAAGGCCCTGCGGATAAAAAGGCAACGCGTCCAGGTGAGCTGTAAACAAGTAAACATGAGATTTATTTAACAGTCATATTATTTACATAAAATAGGGATGAAGGTTAAAAACGTGAATATTAAATCAGCTCTTTTTATTTTATATTAACTGTTAATTAACTGTTAATTCGTGTTTTTCAGTTACATTACTCAGGCCAGAGGCCCCTATTATTCGATGTATTTTCCACCAATAGCAGTGTGTTTGCTGATAGCCATTATAAAATCCATCTTTTGTCCAATGGTTTTTGAAGTTTGATCATATTGGGAGTTAACGATAGATAGATAGGTAGATAGATAGAGAAGTACTTTATTGATCCCAAATTGAGAAATGTTTACGTTGCAGCAGCAGAAAAAACAAGGCAATGTACATAAGAGAAATTAAGACACAAGAAATAAACAGTCCAAAATATTTCTGAAATAGAAATAAAATAGCATTAAAAAGTTAAAAAGGTAAATGCTGTTAAATACATTATGTTTTTTTCAGAGGACACCAAAATAAAAGCTGCACCAGAAGGCACCGTGGATAAAAAGGCATCCCCTCCAGGTGCATGATCAATACATTGCACTATTTAATAGAAAATAAAAAACATAAAGGTAAAACAGTGACATAGTGACAAAGGTTACAATTGCTAAGCTATTTTTGTGATGTGTTTATAATGTATTGAAAGCATTAGCTTAGCCTGTTAAATTATTTTAGGTGTTAAGATAAAGCTAAACTCCTGAGCTTGCACTATTTTTATAAATATGTTTATGTTGCATTTTTTAACCAACCTGCGACCACAGTTTTTAGACTAAACTGTATCTGTGTATATGACTTTAAAACCTTTGAAACCTTTCGAAACCTTTGTTAAGGTTTTTTAACTGAATGCTTGTTTTTCAGGCTTGAGGTTCTTTCTTCCAATAGCAGTGTGTTGGATCATACTGTTAGCCATCATGGGTCTCCGTATCTACTGTGAGTATCTTCTCGATGAATGTCAGTTCAACATTTTGAAATAGGCTGAAATGTGTGTGAAGGGTGAAGTGTGTGTGTGAAGGGTGAAGTGTGTGTATGAAGGTGTCTGCTTGTGTTCTCCATATTTTACAAAAGGCAGTGGTTTGAATCGTCAGAGCTGTTGTAAGTTGTCTACAATACAGAGATCAGTCGCTCCGCCTGTTATCTCTCCAAATGCAGTTAGCTCGTTGCTAACTTGTTGCTGCTCTAGTGAAGTTAGCCGGCTGTGGCTGACATGTTCCTATGGTTCACTTTTTCAAAGGACAGGTCTGTCAGACGCCCACATGTACATAGAAACAGTTGATGTTAGGTGTAATCCTGCCTCCTGTTAACACTGGCCCTGTGCAAAGATGTATTTCAGAAGAGGTTTTTTTTTTATAACTTTAGAAGATAAACACTTGATTTAACAATCTTAGACCATCAGTGCTGCTCCGTTCACATGTTTATATGTGCGTCTGACTATTGTTTTAAGAAAGATAAAACATATGAACCTGTTCTTTAATGTCTATTATGATCATTAATCACTCAGAGACACAAGCCTTACAGCCCAACACCTTCCTCTGTCTCTGTAGTTACCTCTGAACTTTCGGAAGACAACGCCAAGCAGACTGCAGAAATCCTTAACCTGACATCAAGAATCCAGGAACTGGAGACACGGAAGAATCTCACGCACCAGTTGGGTAACCTGACACAAGCCTTTACTGT